GAAAACTTTCTAATAATATATTTTGTTATAAAAATATTCATTTTTATTGATATTTAATAAATTACATAAATTAACCAAAATATAGAATATATATATATATATATATATATATATATATATAAACAACTCATTAAGGTAAATCGGTCATTTTATCAATCATTTCTTATGAACCGCTAAATAATTGTCTTGTCATGTTCTGTAATGTCTTATCTAAGTACTAAGCACGCTCTTACAATTAGGGGTTCTTATGAGTTGGATTGATCGGGTTGAAGATATTTGAACAACTCAACCCAATGCTTGCGGTTTGAAAAAATTTAACCCAACCCAAACCATACGGGTTGGTCAGGTTGATAATTTGAACATTAAAATCTTCTTCTAACATTGAATATGTTATTTCTCAACTCATAATTTATTTTTCATCATCAATCATTTGATACAACTTATCCATACTTCTTACGTATATCACATTCAGTTAATTTTCTCAATTTATATATATATATATATATATATATTCACAGTTACTGAACATATATACGAATGAGTTATATAGAGATGTGAATAGATTGAAAATATGTGTATATAAAGAGTGTACGTGACAGTATAATTATCTAATGTATATATAAGTAGATATTCAACAATCATATTAAATCCAATAGATAAAAGAATATCGGGTTCATCGGGTTCAAATAATTGTAACTCAATATCAACCCAAAATTTACAACCTGATTAGACATCAGGTTACTTCGGGTTGAGTTATTTCGCGTTGGTTTGATCGGGTTTGTTAACACCCCTACTTACAGTGACAATATTTTGAAATTTCCAAAACAGCTTCACATAAGCAGTAAATTTTTTCTTCCGTTTTAAATAAATTGGGTCCAATTCGTACAATCGTATCCAAATTGAACTTAGCTTTCAGATCAATGATTGGTTACAAACTAGACACGTCCTTGTACATTGTTGGGCTCGATAACGGGTTTGTATGGGTACTTCGTGTCGTGCGCATGATCATTCGACCTACTGGTATAACCGACGTGGTTGTAAAATTCTCTAAAGGGGCGTTTGATTTGATATAATGGTTTTGAGGGATTTGGATTTCATTGAAGGATTTGGAATCTTTATTTTGTGTTTGGTTTGTAAAATTTGAAACGAAATTGAATTTCACTTTTTTTTAATAAATAATTTATAAAAACAAATTAAAAATAATTAAATTACATTTGTATTAATTGATTAGTATAAAACAAATGTTTTCCACGTATTTCAAAACATTATTTTTTTGATTAACCTGGATATTCAACCCGCTATGCGAGCCGACTAATCACAAGACGATCATATGCTTTGCGAGTAGCCCGGAGTCACCACATTTGAACCTTCGTGACCACAAGGGATTAAAACATTATTTTTTTCTATTAACCTGGATATTCAATCTGCTATGTGAGCCGACTAATCTTATAACGACCACCTGCTTTGCAGATAGCCCGGAGTCATCGCATTTGAACCTCCGTGGCCACAAGGGGATTTTTATTACTCGTTGGATTTGTACATGGAACCTCCTGGTACTTTTGACCTTTGGAGCCAAGCTTAAACCAATCAGGCACCGCCTTTGTGGTTGGATTAAAACATTATTACGCACAAATCCCACGAAATACCAACAAACCTCATAAGATTTCTAAATCCCATGTTTGTGGGATTTCAATGAAATTCCGAGATTTCAAATTTAAGCGATCATTCAAACCAAACACGAGATCGAAAAGAAATTGAATTTCAAATCCTTCCAAATCATATCCACTCTTACGAACCAATTTATTGAATTGTAAATTCCTTTGAATTCCGTCGTCGAGTAATTTGATCATTTCTCCGCAAAGTTAATGAATTGAATTTCATTATTTAAAAATTAATGATTTCCGATTTAATTTAAGGCAAATTGTATGAAAAACTAATGCAATTTAACTTAATTTCTATTTTGGGTAACGTACTTTCAAAACTTTCATTTTGGTACCTAATATGTAAAGTTTTAAACATTTAAGTATCCAAGTAATCTGTTGAAGCATTAACCGGTTATCATTCTGATGTGACGAGTGATATGATATTCAACTCAGTACTATTTGCTAACGTGGTTAGTAACATTGATTTTTTTTAATCTAAAATTAATCTTCAATCGGTTACCCGAGTACTTAAAACTTTACATTATTAGGTACCAAAATGAAAGTTTTAATAGTACGTTACCCAAAATCTGAATCATGTTAAAGTACTTTACTTTTTTCATGCAATTTGCCCTCTAATTTAACCAATACCACCACTCCCGTCGCAACGAGCGTCACCATCATCATCACCACCACCCATCCCCACAAACCATCGTCATTAGCACCATCAACGCACTACCGTTGTCGTTACAACTTTTTCCATATATATATATATATATCCATATTTTCTAAATCGTAATCGAAATATCAATTAAATGAACATATTATAATTTTAATATATAATTTATATATTATTATTTTGCTTTTTTATTTAACAAAATATCTTCAAGATTTGGTTATATTCATATGTGAATTTTAAAATTAACTTTTACTTTATTAATGCTTCAAAGTAATAAAATAAAACCCTCAATGAGATCCTCGTTTTTTTCTCGAAAGAGAAGTTGATAAAGACATTTTCCATAATGTCCATAACATTTAGGAGAAATCTATTTTTTGTGTAGGATAGATATCTGGTTGTTAAAAAAGAAAAATTGTATGAAAAAATAACGTATTTTAACTTCATTTTTATTTTGGGTAACATGCTTTCAAAACTCTCATTTTGATACCTAAGATGTAAGTTTTAAACATTTAAGTACCCGGATAACCGGTTACCATGCTGATGTGGTGAGTGATGAGATGAAATTAAGTTGAATAGCAAATGATACTGAGTTGGATACCACATCGCTCGCCATATCAGCATGGTAACCGGTTACCCGAGTACTTAAATGTTTAAAACTTTACATCTTAGGTATCAAAATAAAAGTTCTGAAAGTATGTTACCCAAAATATAAATCAAGTTAAAGTATGTCACTTTTTCATGCAATTTGCCCAATATAAAAGTCTTTGACAAAGTAACATATGAAATTCATTTAAATTGAATCATTCTTTTATTTTGTTCAAAGTTGTAAACGGAAATCATTAAACCAGTTACTGGGTTTAACGGAAAAATATGGAAATATGAAGAAAATTATACATAGAGATAAATTTATCGGGACTATCAACTTAATTCATCCAGTTTAATTTCCTTCATTACCACTAGAGGGTTCATTGGACTGTTAATAGGGTGCTCAAAAATCCGACTAATCCGATCAATCCGATCAACCCAACCCATGCGGAATAACTCAACATGAAGCAATCTGATGTCTAATCGAGTTGTAATTTTTTTAAACCGTAGGTATTGAGTTACTATTATTTGAATTCAACCCAACTCGAAGAACCCGATATCCTTTTATTTCTTGGATTTAATATGATTGTTGAATTTGTATTAATATATACATTAGACAATTACATTATCACGAACGCTCTTCATATACGTATATTTTCAATCTATTCACATCTCCATATAACTCATTCGTATATATGTTCAGTAACTGTGAACATATATATGTAAATTGAGAAAAAATTAACTGAATGTGATATACGTAAGAAGTATGGATAAGTTGTATCAAATGATTGATGATGAAAAAGAAACTACGAGTAGAGAAATAACATATTCAAAGTTAGAAGTATATCTTAATATACCAAAGTATCAACCCGACTAACCCGACCAACCCTCACGGTTTGGGTTGAGTTGCACTTTGGTTTGGTTTGTGTTGGGTTAAGATTTTTCAAACTGTTAGCATTGGGTTGTATTTTTCAACTGTCTTCAATTCGATCAACCCAACTCATGAGTACTCCTAACTGTTAACACAATGTCCTATAAAAATAAATAGAAGTGCGTAAGCCAATCAAAATGCCAACGAAGCAAAGTATGACCTCATGTTAACAGTTGAAGAAAGCCCTTACGTTGTGATACACTACTTAAGACTCAGGGGAAGTAACGGAAATCTCATCTGTAAGATCCCGCATTGGTTGAGGAAATGAACAAAAGTTGTCTTATAATGGACT